TTGTTCCGTTGTTGTGGCTGCTCCTTCTCGTGGGTGAAGTCCTTTCATACCGTCAGGATTGTGTGGTTGGTTGTTGGCTCTTACGTGTGCCATTGTTACAAATAAGCTCCAATATGAATGCTGTACAGCTATTTCCTGTAAACCTCGACACAAGACCTACAGCGTCAGCGCGCATGATGACTCTTGTCTTCGTTTACGCTCAAGGTCATCAGCATCGCACCGCATGCCTTTTTGTTACAATACACCCGAGATGGAGTGCCGTTAAAAACTAATTGCCCCCTTCCTGATTTCTCTCTCTCTTTCTCTCTCTCTCTCTCTCTCTATATATATATAGATCTACATTTGAGATTAACTAAAGTCAAAGATTGTTTAGAAGCGAGTTACAAGTTGTTTCATTGTTTTATGAACTTGTTGTTGTTGGGACGCATAGGCTGAAAAAATGTCATACAGTACACAGTGATCACCGTGTAAGCTCCGGTTGTGTGCATTGTTGTTTTCTCCCCCTGAAACTGCTCCAAATCAAAAACTGTGTACTCCACGTATTTTATACAATGACTTGCTGATGTTCGTATGTGTTCAGCCTCATGTATGGGAGTGCCAGGTCGTCGCACCACGACTCAGAGCTGCTCCACCGGCAGGCCTACGGAAGCCCTCACCCGCTTCAGGGTTATGCAACCAACCACCACCCAGGAGGCTCCAGGCAGAGTGGGGCCTGGGGTGGACGCACATTGGGTAAGGACCATCGCACCGCATGCCTTTTTGTTACAATACACCCAAGATGGAGTGCCGTTAAAAACTAATTGCCATTGTTGTTTTCTCCCTCTGAAACTGCTCCAAATCAAAGACCGTGTACTCCATGTATTTTATACAATGACTTGCTGATGTTCGTATGTGTTCAGCCTCATGTATGGGAGTGCCAGGTCGTCGCACCACGACTCAGAGCTGCTCCACCGGCAGGCCTACGGAAGCCCTCACCCGCTTCAGGGTTATGCAACCAACCACCACCCAGGAGGCTCCAGGCAGAGTGGGGCCTGGGGTGGACGCACATTGGGTAAGGACAAAGGTAGCGTTAAAAAAAAAAAAAAAACTAAGAAAGTGTGTTTTGTCCTTATGGCTTTTGGCAGTGTGACTAATTTTCAGCAAATTAATTGCTCTTAATTTGTGTATACCTTTTGAAAAAAGAATGAATTATAGTATTGAAGACACGGTTAGCGTCATAGGTCACTTGTTCCTCAGCAAAAAGTAACATTGATAGACAGGACTTAAGCAGTTTATTAGACCCGCTGACTTAAATTAACAGCAGTGGTCATAATAGAATTGTTTGCGTATCCGTAGCGATAAATACAGCCTAGAAATGATCATGCTAAAATACAAACACATACCAAAATGATAGTCTTTTTCATTCAACTTCAAGATTAATTTTTTGGGAGGATTCCGAATCCCCCTTCAAGGTCACTTGTTCCTCAGCAAAAAGTAACATTGATATACAGTACTTCAGCAGTTTATTCGACCCGCTGACTTAAATTAACAGCAGTGGTCATAATAGAATTGTTTGCGTATCCGTAGCGATAAATACAGCCTAGAAATGATCATGCTAAAATACAAACACATGCCAAAATGACTTTTTCATTAAACTTCAAGATTAATTTTTTTGGGATAATTCCACATCCCCCCTTCATTTTTTTTCTCTTCAGCACATCAAGTGTGAATAATAACAATAATAATAACAGTAAAATGTAATGTAGCAATCTATATTTAGAAATTAAGGATAAGATTCAGCAACAGGTGGATTTTTTCGGAAACGTCATTTACAGTGGTTATAAATTACAAAGTACAAGTCGGTCCAAAAAAAAAAACGGAGGTGGTAGAAAAAAGGTCAAGACCTTTTTTTTTTTTTTTTTTTAACATCAGCATCAATAATATGTTCAGGTACACATCTGTGATTCGAATTTGCCGTTGACCACAGCGTCACGATTGTTATCCACAAAGTTTCAGTTGAGATCAAGTAAAGCGCACGATTGCTGCGGACCCGCGTAATTGTTGTTTTGCGTGAAGTTTCAAAGTGACTGTTTTCCAGACAAGTATGTAAAGCGTCATGCATGCGTTTCGTTGGCAGGCCTGTCAGGGCTGTTTGATGCCGGTCTCCACCACTCGGGCCCCTCGGGTCCCGATCCATCCGTCATGAATCTGATTTCAGCTTTGGATTCCCGCGGTCCGCAGCCCCCGCCCTCTGCTTCTTCCCTCCTCACACAGTTTCGCACTCCTTCTTGGCAGACCGGTAAGTGTCAGCACGTTAGGGGAATGCCAGCCAGTGCAATGGCAAAACAAGAGCAATAGGCATGGTGTAAGCAATCATTTGATCGAAAGACGTCGTGTCGAGAAAAAGACTTTGATCTCGGCAAACGGACACCAGGTCTCGAGTTTGACTTGAGCCAATGCGCTGAATCTGAACCGCGGCTGTATGAACCGAGGCTATCCATTGAATGTCGATCTTGTGTCCCGTAGCGATGCACAGCCCGGCCCCAACGGAGCTCTTTATTTCAGGAGCTCTTCCGGGTTCCGCTTCCTTCTCCTCCTCCTCCTCGGCCCTTTCTGCATACCAGCATCCCGGCTCTTTCTCCGGACGCTCTTTCACTCCTTCATTATCCCTGCAGGACACAGCCGCCTTTAGCCCAAATTCCAATGGTTTGTTGTCCCCCCATGATCCCTTGATGCACATTAAGACCCCCTCCCAGTCCAGCTTGGGATTTGATCGCCTGCTGTCTTCTCAGAGCAGCGCCTACCGGAGTTCCCAGGAGCTAGCGGCACCTCCTCCGAGCCACGTCCCGCCCAGCTCCTCCAGTTGCCACCTGCCCCCTCCCCAGTTTAACCTGCTCTCCTCCCAGCTCCACAACCAGTCCTCTCAGCTCTATAACGCCTCCATGTTTTCCTCCACCCCGGCCCTGATAGCCACAGCCCCCGCACAGGACAGGACGCTTCCTCGGCAGGATAGCGTGATCAAGCATTACCAGCGTTCACCGCCAGCTCATTCCGCAACGCTCCCGCCGCAGCAATATCTCAGTTGCGCCGGGTCAGTGGGCTACCAGCAATTGCCGAGCCAACACCATCACGCCGGCGTCTCCTATAGTCCCTCGGGGGAGCAGAGTCCGCCCTCAGATCCCAAACGCTCGCCACAGGCCGAGTCGCGGCCGTATCGACCGAACATTAAAACCCCCTACGCTTCTTCTTCCTCCAGCTCGGCCTCCTCCTCCTCAGCCGAGACGAAAGAATCCGAGAGCTCCACGACTGGCTACTCATCAAATTCGGTCTCGTCCTCGTCACGGGCCTCCCACACGCCGCCGCTGTCGTCCAAGGGATCTTCATCCCCTTCAAACCCCAAGGGCAGCGCCGCCAGCTCATCGGCTCCCTCGCGTCCGCAGCCCCCACCTCAACCGGCACCGGCGACGGCACCGCCTCCTTTACCGGTGGTGTCATCGGCCCAGTCAGCTCCCAAACCGTGCCTCTCTACGTACGGTTCTCCGCCTGGGGCCAAATCGAGCACAAGCCTATCGGGCCAGACCCCTCCCCAGCAGCAAGCCCAGTCATACTCTCCCGACCAGCTAGCACCGACTCCCGGCACTCAATCTTGCTTCAGTTCCCCTAAAACATGTGACATGAGCTCTGGAGCCGGGGGGAATGGAGGCAAGGCTTTCGCTGATTTAGGCGCCGGCGGACGCTCATTCTCAGCCGAAATTGTCTTTGGGGACTCGAGCTTCAGTTCGGCTCCTCACAGAAGAGCAGAGAGTCCTTCTCCAGGGTACGGGACTGCTGCGGGATCGACAGGAAGTGGAGCATCAGCAATTTCCACCCTCGAAACCGGACTTGGATCTGTCGCTTCAGGAAGTGGGGTTGCCAGTGGAGGCAGCACTTCGTACCGCTTGAATGAGTCGAGTCCATCACCCGCCGTCACTTCTACCGTCCCTCATCCGGGGTTGCGCTCTCCTGCTTCTGCTCGACCCGCGCAATCGCCCGGAGGTTCGGGGGCCGGCACGTACCTGCCCTCCATGCTCTCACCCACGTTCATGGCATCGTCACGTAACCCGACTGAAACGCAACAGCCCTACCGCCCAGCCGCACCCAAAACCAAAACACAGGCCAACATGCTGGGGGTGGAGCGCTCCCAAATGGAGGAAGCAGATGATTTCCTCATCCAGCAATTGCTCCATACACAAAGTTCAACTTCTCATTCTGCCCAGCATCATCCGTCTTCTCTGCAGATGCCACAACAGCTCCCGCTCGCGGGAGATACAGAAGCCAAGGGAGCGACTTATGACATGAACAAGATCTCAGACGAGCGTCACCACCTTCACAGTGTGATTCGCGCAAATAGCGCCACTGGCGCTGCGGACCCTGACACGTCGATGAGTAAAGTAACGGGTGGCTTGAAGAGTCAGTTGGAAATATCACGGAAGGAGCGGCAACAGCCCGAGTCTGAGTTGACAAGCTCGAAATCCACTTCGGAAGGGGTAGGAGGAGTCACAGACCCTCTTTGCCATCCTAACCGCTCCCGCCAGCCAGAACAGGACTCCCTGGTTTCTGCGGGTCACTACGGAGGAGGGGACCCCTACGCCCAGCACCCGCATTCTCAACATTCCCACCACATCTCGCACCTGTCGCCCCATTCTCAAAAGCAAGCGCAATGTCGGCAGTCCCAGCTCTCTCAGCACACACAGCCCTCCCATCATTCTCAGCAAAATCTTCCTCACTCACAACATCCTCACATGGAGCTCAAAAAGACTTTGGATCGGACCGACGGCCCCTACTTGTGCAATACGACAGATGTGCAGCAGTCTGGACAAAACCAGGTTTCGCACCAGATGATGACTTCGCAACCGGACTGCCCTCAGCAAACTCACATGCTGCATTCTCTCATGCCTCGGGCTAAAATGGACCCCCAGCAAGCGCCGCAGCACCATCCCTTGAGCCAGCAAGGTATCATGGGACCAGCTCGAGGAGCAGGGCTCGCGGGGGCGGATTCCCACACGCACAGTCGGTCCTCGCAGCTCCAACTCCAGCTGCAGAATCAGAGTTTGGATCCACGCTATAACCTCGGAGCGCCGAGAGATCAAAGGCGAGTAAGCCAGAACTCGGCGTCCCCGCTGGATATGTTGGACCAGCGTCTTTCACAGCCAAGGAGCAGGGAGAGTGGAGGATCTCTATCTTTGGATCGACATGGCATCAGGACTGGTGCCAATATTACGGAAGGCGATGGCGTCGCCGGGGAAAGACACGGACAACAGCACGGTCTGCCGTCCCACCACCTTGGTCGACAAACGGCCCCCGAGCTTCATGGCTTCCTCCCCGAACCGGACTTGGCTTTACCCACCGGCTCTCACTTGCACCACGTCAACCAGTCTCAGAGCCACGCCCACCACCGACAGCAAGCGCACAGTCACCATCAACCTTCCCACACCCATTTAGCTCATCCGCAGTCACATCAGATGGTGGGAAATATCGGAACCGGCCAACAACTGCACCAGTCCCAAGCCAGAGAGACCGACCACCAACCGTCCCACTCTCAGTTGGACCGTCTTAAGCCCCCCCACCACTTTGACACTGTGAGCCCCGGTGGGAAAACAAGACTGAATCCAAATCAGCAACAGGAGCAGTTTACATCCTTGACGTCCATCTGCTTTTCGGACTCCCTCTTAAATGATGAAGACCGGACTTTCTTTCCAGGAGTGGAGGACATGTTTTGCTCTGCAAATTATAAGTCCAGTTGCGCCGGGGATTCTGGGAGTGGACAGGCTTCGCAAGAGAGCATTCCCCAAGGTCGTGGGCAAGAGGGCATGGAGGTCTTAAAAACGGGAGATGCTGGACAAGGTTACGGTCTGGTTGCTCACCACGGAGATCAGGGCTACGGACAATATTGTCACTCTCTCTCGGGATTAGGGAATACCACTCTGAATGCGGATCTGGACTCGATGAAGACCCACGATCTGCCCTCAACCGTGAACACCGATCAACTCGGCCTCATACAGTCCCAGGCCCCCACGATGGGATCGAATCCCACTGCTCAAGACTCGGTCAACAAAATGACAGCGTCTGTGGGAGTCGTCGGAGGCCCGAGCAATACTGCTCTGACCGCGGCCATTTTTTGTTCATCCCGACCCAAAAAACTGCTCAAGACCAGCTCGTTTCATTTGCTTAAACAGCGACGTGAGCCCCAACCCCTGGCTAAGAAAAATTACGCGCAAGAATATGAATTTGAAGACGACGAAGACAAAGCCGACGGTCCGGCCGATATCCGTCTCAACAGCCGACGCCTTCCCGACCTCCTCCCCGATTTGGTTTCGAGTTGTCGAAAGTCCAGCGGGGCGTCGGCAGTCGGTGGGCTCGGTCCGCTGATGGGTGACGTGGACTTCTGCCACCCGTCCGGCTATTCGTCCCTGGGACAGTCGCAACCGCTCCTCGCCCAGGATGGCCCAAAGAAAAGGGGGAGGAAACCAACCAAACCAAAACGCGAAGGCCCTCCTCGCCCCAGAGGTAGACCTCGAATACGCCCTCTCCCGGAGCCTTCCTACTGTCGGGGCCTGATGGGATCAGCCGCTGGGGAAAGTAGAAGGGGGCGCGGGAGGGGTCGAGGTCGGGGTAGGAGGGAGGAAGCGCTCGTGGAAATGCACCAAGATATGAGCAAAGCGCACGACCTCCCCTATCAGCAGCACCCGCAGCCACACTTCAGCCAAGAGCGGCATCTCCGACACAATCCGCATGAGCATCACAGACTGCAGCTAGATCACCACCAAATATCGCAACAGCAACAAGGACGTCTCTTGCATCATCCTGTGACCCCCTCCCACCACCAAATGCATCACCAACAACAGCAACACGGTTACCAACAACATGTGCAGCGACCGGCTCAACAGCTGCAACAAGATCCAGGCAGCCCCATCAAGGTAGAATAAAATTGAAATACTACACTTTATATATATATAAATGTGTGTGTGTGTGTGTATATTTATATAATTCAGCCCTGAGATCAAAAATGGTCAAAGGCAGTTCTGTGCAACCAGTAATGTGAGTTTGCCCATCTCCTACTACTATTCTGATTAATAATAAGAATAATAGCGGCACGGCGGTCAACTCGTCAGCGCGTCCGCCCCTCACAGGACAGAGGTCGTGGGTTCAAATCCCGGGTCCTGGCCTTCCTGTGTGGAGTTTGCGTGTTCTCGCCGCGGCTGTGTGGGTTTCCTCCCACATTCCAAAAACATGCATGCTAGCTAAAGTGACCACTCCAAATTGTCCCTAGGTGTCAGTGTGAGCGTGAATGTCCGTCGATTACGATGTGTGCCCTGCGATTGGTCGGCGACCAGTTCAGGGTGTGTGTAGCCTGCGTGCTGCTCGAAGACAGCTGGAATAGGCGCCGGCACGCCCGCGACCCTCGTGCGGAAAAGCGGATTAGAAAATGGATGAATGGATGGATATATCCTGCTCAGGAACGATGACACTGATGTGTTCAAGAAGTGATCGCCATGCGACGGCTTTTCTTGGTGTCGATCCATCTTTCAGGTCACGCACACGCCGGTTTCTGCCGTGCCCCCGTCAGAATCATTGCTGAGGAGCGACTCACTGTCCGGCACGGATCCAGCCCTGTCTGATGGATCCATGGGGTCAGCGGCATCGCTCGGCCCCCGCCC